AGACTTTTGAGACAACTTTTAGAACGCTAAAATGAAAGCATATACGAAAATTCAGCTTATTATTTCTCATTCCGAAGTTGATCGCTAATTTGACTAACTTAGTCCTACTATCCTATTATCGTACCTGTGTCCTACTAATAAATTAGGTGTATCCATACTATAATTTTATAAGTAGGCTTAACACTATTTTAATAAAGGGTCACCCTTTATTAAAATAGTGTTTGTATGGCATTCAACTGTTAGTAAAGGTCAAAACAGAAAAATATAATTTAAAAATATCTTAGTCTGAAACTTTTACACACTGCCTGCTAAATTTTTAGCGAAATTTACGCAAATGCTACTAAATAGCTCACTAACCCTGTGCGACAAACGCTCTTGCGCGTTGAATATATATTTTGTGTGGTTTTGAATGCATATGCGCCGTTGAAGAAAGTTTACACTGTGCTAAACTAATTTAATATATAAATGTTGCCTAACATATAACAAATATAAAAAAACAATACAATAATGCATATCTATAACATACATATATAATATATTTAAAAAATACAGTCGAATTAAGAACTTCATCCCTTTTAAAGTTAGTTAAATCTTGACGATTCAGTTGAACTATTTTACTGTTTTTTATACTTAGAGGTTAGTTGAATACTCTAAGTTTTTATATTTTCAAATAAAAAAATCTTTAAATAAAAACATTATTACATCCGAGATACAATTCTAGAAAAACAGATATGAATCGAATTCTGAAAGTTTTTTTATTCAAATTGAGTTTTAAAACATTCCTTAATTTTTTTAATAATAAACTAGGTACTTATGTAATTTTTTTCTGAAGGTGTGGTGTGCCTAATCAAACTAATGTAATCAAATTCTATCAAAGACAATATTATCTTAGAAACCTCTGCATTCCATAAATATCTCGAAGCCGTTATTGACGTAGTTTAGTTCAGTTCTGTACAATATGCTCCGTATTTTCAATGCGCTTGCGTGTGAACTCTGGGTCAAAAATACTTTATTCCGAACATGCATTGTAATTTTAAAGTCATAAGATGAATTTCTTTAAGGCGAACATGTTTAGATGATATTTATTAATAGTAATAGCATAGGCGTATAGAAGTGTTTTTCAAAATAATTGTACTTATCGAAATTGTAATTACGAAAAAGTAACGAAATCGTTGTAATTGTTACTAAATTGTAACTATTAAGCCACGTGTACACTGACTACTGAACTATTCCAAATTACTGATTACCCTACTACGTATAGTAAAAAAGGGTTGTGATAAATACTTCTAGAATCCCATTAATTTTCATTAACTCACCTTTTACATAGTTGAGTAGACGTCGTGTCTAAGCAAGACGTCTTGTATAGGAACGACATCGAACGTGCAGCCGACAAAATGACCAGAGTGCACGTGTCTGATGCGACATAAGAAAAAGAATCTTATATGTGTGGTTTCATATAACAACCAATGCGATTGAATTTCTTATAAGAATTCTCATAAGACACAAGAAATTTTCTTATAATGTGCAAAAGGGCTTAACTTACTGACCTACCTAGTATTGCTTATCACTACTACTATACCAGTGTATACGTTACTTAAGACTATACAATTTCGTAACATAACGAAAAGTTACGCAATTGTTAGTGAAAAGTAAAGTTAAATTAGTTTTTACATCAAACCGTCAAGTTTATTGTTTAAATGAAAGCATGTGTTAGGATATATCAGTCTGTTCAACATATGAAGCATTAAATATATATATATATATATATATATATATATATATATTTTTTTTAAATACCTATAAGAAAAGTCAACCGTTACATAATTGTTAGAATATATTTAAGCACAAGTCGTAAGCTTCAAGTCTGGTTTTCTTTTAAATTCAATATGGCAGGTACAGCTAAAAATTGACCAGTCAGAGATGAGTAATAGAGTAACACTCGGGTGTTACTAGTATATTAAGATCAGAATGCGTTCAGAAAGTAAATACACGATCGAGCAATTAGTGTTACTAAGCTTGTATAACGAAATTGTGAAAAAGTCGTGACATGTTATTATTGCAATTTCTTGTTTTTTTTTTATTCGTAAATCTTAAAAATTTATGATTATACCGAATAGATTAGAATTTACCATAAAAGATGAATATTGTAAAAAATAAAACAACGTAAAAAAACTTTATGTAGTGAGGCGGGAATCTTGTGGGGAGTAGCAGTGACATTTCATATTTGTATGAAGGTTAAAAGGCAAGGTGTAAGAAAAAAATGCTAATACATAATTATGATGAAGTAGAACATTCTAATAGCGTTTTGATAATGAATGAAGTGCTAAGCTATTTTTATTAATAAGAAAAAATGGAAGACCACTACCTACACATTTAAAAATAATTTTAAATGTTAGTGACATACTTTATTTCGAAAAGGTACAATTATTTTGAAAAATACTCATAGATGTATTTTATTATCTTAACGTGAATTAGAAATAATTACTCCACATCACAATTAACCATCTATCGTCAATTACCAAATTCCCAGAATGAAATTGATCGTCTCGATTTCATATACGTGGTAGAGCCACACTCACGCTGCAGCTATATTATGGTTGTGGCACGAATGGGTCGGCTCGACCGGGGAAGAAGCACGCTCTCATAGAAAACCAGCGTAAAATAGCAACTTAAAGCTGCTGTATTTCGTATGGTGAGTGTAGAGAACCGGAGACCCTTTTTACTGGAAACGAAGCAATCCATCTTTGTCCTCAGGGGTGACAACGCATCTTCATTTTGATTCGCTCCACAGCATCCACTTACCATCTGGTGGACTGTGTGCTCGTTTGTCATTGTCACCTTTAAATAAATAAAAAATGTGTTTGGTACTGTTTAAAACCATCACTTTATCTGCAAAACTAAATCATAGAGACATTGCGCATCTTCTTTGAATATCATATTTAAATAAGAATATAAAATATAAAAAACAATCATTATCAAATCAGGGATATAAAATATAAGCAAAATTTTTGATATTTTATATCCCTGATTAAAAGTTCCGTCCCCGAAAAGAGAACTATTATTGAGAAGACTATCTGATAATTTCCATTGCTGCAAATATTAAAATATCCTAGAAACTATTTAGAATTGCCAGAAGAAATTCACAATAGTCTAGAATGAAAGCTGTGGGTGACGAGAGTGGCTGTACCTATTTTGAATGACGAAATTTAAAGGTGGAAGCGTGTTTAAGTGTAAGGCATCTAAAGTAAACAAACCAGAAACTGTGAGAAAAGCAATGAAAAGCATGGGCAAAATATTAAGGCAGATGGGAATGATAAGGTATCATTAGAAATGCTGAGAACTGGAGAGGGAGTGGTGGCAAGCCTGTCTAAACTTTTTTAAATTTATGCTGAGAACTTAAGCGAGAACCGGGAGGAGACTGTTGCAAAGTCGTTATAGTTCTGTACTGTATAAGCAAAAATGGTCACAGCATCATTGTAAAAACTACTTACCGAGGAATCAGCCTCATTGTCGGAAAACTGTATGCTAAGGTGTTGATTGAAAGAGTTATGAAAGAAACCTACGGAGGAATTTTGGTTGGCAAGCTAGATTTAGATGGGGTATACGGATCAGATCTTTTGTATGTGCATGATTATGAAGAAGTTTTTGGCCAAAACCCAGAAAGTTTTTTGCGCATTGTTAGACCTGGGAAAGGCATAAGACAGAGGGGACAGCTTTGCTTTACGGCAAACGCTAATCTCGTTTGGGTTGATCTTTGGATGTTAAAAACATTGAAGTGTTTTATAAAAAGTAGTGTACACAAAGACTAGTGTTTGTGATAGGATCAACGGAATCTACACAGAATTGTCAGATAAGGTCGTGTGGCTTCCTCGTGGTTGTTCAACTAGTTTATGAATAGATGTTTGGAAACTTCAAAAGTCGAAGAAATTAGGTTAAATGATCAAGTCATATTTGCGTCATCAGCGGACATGTTGCAAATGATAGTTACTTTTATAAACGCGTCTTTAAAATAAGGGAGGATGAAAAGCAAGTAAGATGAAAGTGATGGATATTGAAAGATAAGAAAGTGAAACGACATGTGAATTAAGAACAGAAGAAGAGTTGATTGAGCAAGTTGATTGAGTTCTATATATTTAGGATATGAGTTTATGTTTAACAGGGACGATAAACATGACAAGATTAATGTGTCTGAATGCAGAACACAGAGTAATTAATAAGGATACAACGCTATTAACATTACTGTTACTTCTATTAACCACTAAGTAAACTTAATATATTTTTTTATACTTCTGTAGAAGTGGCTCACGACCACAAACTAATAAGAAGTACTAGTTACGACATTCGCCGAGTAGGGTATTTAGACCCACTACTGTCAGACTTTATGGTCCATACCCCTAATGGCTGATTTACACAGGGTCAGTAAACTGATTTGGAGTTAGTACTTAAAACTTTGGCTATTGTCGCCTATATCCACTTATAAATGAGAGGAGTTATATCTTAAAAATATAATGTTGGTTCGCTTAAAGAATTTGTACCTTAAAATGTCTATGGAGCGGGTGACAGATGTCAGCTGAGCGAAAACCAAAGAGAATCTTCAAAATGGTATACGCTGCGCATTGTTTTTAAAATCTCGATGGGTCGTTTTACTGCACATTGCTATTTGCTATCATTTAACATTGTATATCGTATTATCCAATAAGAAGTGGTAACTGCGGTAACTCCAGTTCGAAGTGTCGCATTTATAACCACTAGTAAAATACCGATATTCTGTTACGTTTCTCTACAAAATGAGAATTGGTGAAGGTCACCTGCAGTTGCCAATTACGTTATCCGTGTCGTGTTAGAAAACACACTGTCATACAGTCACTTAAAAATCGCGTCACGTTGAGACGCCGCATTTTACGTAACAACTATCGCCGTTCGCCACTTACCTTCCGCAAGGTAAAACATCAAGCGCTTGTTCTATATAAAAATTGTAATAAAATCCAATAGGCAGCAAAATGTTGTCCGCTTTGTGTACGAAGGCGTTACGCGGTGCGCGGCCGTTTGAACGCGCTGCTTCTAGTGTCGTGGAATTGCCCAAATTTCAAGACTTCGATGTCCAAAATGAACCCATTCTGGGCTATCGCGAGGGCAGCACCGAGCGTAAAGAACTCGCAGAAGAACTGAAACGCACTGCCGCTGTCACGGAGGAAGTGCCAATTGTTATTGGTGATGAGTTTATCAAAGAAGGTGAAGTGCAACATCAAGTGATGCCCCATGACCACAACAAAAAGCTCGCCAAGTTCTATTACGCGAGCGAAAAAACAATTCAGAAAGCTATTCAGGTATCTGTCGATGCCCAAAAGAAATGGGATCGCACCCCACTGGAAGAGCGTGTGCGTATCTGGCAAAAGGCTGCTGAAATGATGGCAGGTGAACATCGCCAACGTCTAAATGCTGCTACAATGCTAGGCCAGTCCAAGTCTGTTATCCAAGCAGAAATTGATTCTGCAGCGGAGCTCATTGACTTCTTCAGGTTCAATGTGTTCTTCTTAAAAGAAAATGCTAAGTATCAGCCCATTTCTGAAAATCCAACTGTAACAAGAAACAGCATGAGGTTTAGAGGTATTGATGGATTTATTGCTGCTATTAGCCCATTCAATTTCACAGCAATTGGAGGAAACCTTGCCTACACCCCAGCACTTATGGGTAATGGTGTTGTATGGAAGCCTTCAGATACTGCTCTATTATCAAACTGGAGAATATTTAACATCATGCGAGAGGCTGGATTACCTGCGGGCATTGTTAATTTTGTCCCTGCCGATGGGCCTACATTTGGGCGCACAATTACTGCTTCTCCAGATCTTGCAGGCATTAACTTCACTGGTTCTGTACCCACTTTCAATTGGTTGTGGCATGAAGTCGGTAAAAATCTTAACCGCTACAAGAATTACCCTAGGCTCATTGGTGAATGCGGAGGTAAAAATTACCATTTCATTCATCCCTCTGCTGACGTAAGATCTGTGGTCACAGCTACGATCCGTTCGGCATTTGAATATTGTGGCCAGAAGTGCTCAGCATGTTCTAGGATGTATGTTCCTAGATCTCTGTATGAACCAATTAAAGAAGGTCTTCTAGAAGAGCGGTCTAAACTAAAAGTTGGAGACCCAACTGACTTCTCGGTATTTACTGGGGCTGTCATTGATAACAAAGCTTTTGCCAGGATCACTGGCTATATCAAGAATGCAAAGAACAACACCAAGAACAAGATTCTTGGAGGTGGTGAATATGATGATAGCAAGGGCTACTTTGTCCAACCTACTATCATTGAAACTGTAGACCCCCATGATAAGTTAATGACAGAGGAGATCTTTGGGCCCGTACTCACAATGTATGTTTATGAAGACAGTGATGTCATGAAGACCCTTTCACTAGTCGGCTCGTCAACTAAATTTGCATTGACTGGTGCAGTCTTTGCTAATGATAAGAGCTTCCAGCAGACTGCCCTCGAGGAATTGAAGATCACAGCAGGCAATTTCTACATCAATGACAAGTCTACCGGCTCTGTGGTTGGGCAACAACCATTTGGTGGTGGCCGTATGTCGGGAACCAATGATAAGGCTGGTGGGCCCAACTATGTCATGCGCTGGACGTCACCACAATCCATTAAGGAGACATTTGTCCCACTGCGTGAAATAGATTATCCCTACATGAGGGATTAAGCATTTAATATTTATAGAAGGTTTATGCTCAGACTTGAATAGCATACTAAGCTACTAGGAGTACAATAATAAATGAAATCATTAAATTAAGTATCCAACAATAATAGACATAGAACTAAAATATAGCTGTAAGTAAAACATAAATAATATTCAAACTATTTCAATTGTTACAACATACATAAACATGCAACAAATCATTTCAAAATATGTAATCCAGTTGCTGTTTCTTAGAAAACAAAATGTATTTATAAAATTATTTGTAAGTTAGTTTTAATTGTGTTACCTTGTGATGTAAGATTAAAGTTTGTCAGTTGTTTGTGAATTATAGATGATTTGTTTTATTAATTCCCCAGTACAGTAATGTCTTTAGGACAAAGCTTAAACCACAACTGACTTTATCAAATAATTATATTTGCTTATCATTTCATTGCTCATAATGAACACTGTTTATATCTTATCGGCTGCCCCCTGTCTGCTCTCTGAAGCAATTACTGCATTTATACTTGTCTGTACACATATTTAAGGTTCTGATTTACTTGTTTTGATCCAAATGAAATCATTATTAATCTATTATTGTTTTCATTTGTAAGTTTATTTACAGGTGTATTCAGTTTCTGTTGCTTGCTTGTAATATTAAAATTGACATAGATTTGTTATTTATACATTACTAACTGCATTAGGTAATCGTTATTTAACTTATATTTATTGAATATCAATAAATAATAATATTGTTCTATTCGAGTTTTATTGAATCATAAATATTTTAACAAATTATATCCAGATGTAAAAAAATAATTAAAAATTAAAAAAAAAATTGTACAACTGACTTCAATATAAATTATTAAGAATAGCTCAAAAACTATTGGTCAGACCATGATCAAATTTATATGGGACCACATGGGAGGCATTAGCTTTCAAATAAAAAAAGAATCCTCGAAATCAGTTCACCCAGTAAAAAGTTATAAGGTAACACACATTAAAAAAAACATACAGTCGAATTGAGTACCGTCTCCTTTTTGAAGTCGGTAGAAAATAATTTGTTTTTGAGGTTTGAGTAATGAGGGCATCGACGACTTTTATTGCCACCAGGGCGGCAGCACATAGCGGGAAGTTAATTTGTTCGGAAAATGTAAGGATTAATGTTTGTTTCTTTACTATAAGTTATAATTTATATTAATTAGATTAAAAATAAATAAACCAAATCACAGATATTCATACAATAAAAATAAATTATTAAAAATTAAAAATTTTATACAGCCGACTTCAATATATGTTATTAAGAATAACTCAAAAACTATTGGTCTGACCTTGATCAAATTCATATGGGACCACACGAGAAGTACCATCTTTCAAATAAAAAAAGAATCATCGAAATCGGTTGACCCAGTAAAAAGTTATGTGGTAACAAACAAAAAAAAACACAGTCGAATTGAGTACCGTCTCCTTTTTGGAATTCTGCAGAAAAAAGACTCAAAAATGTGCAAAAAATTTAAAGAGCATACAAACCACTGCATTGTTTTGTGTATTAATTTATTATTCTAGAAACTCATGAATTTTTATTTATTAAGGGGTGCCGTGTAGTGGCGGTTAAGAATATCCACTACCTCATATCTTCCCGTGGGTGTCGTAAAAGGCGACAAAGGGAAACAGGCAGGAGATGGGCAACAGCATCTCCCTGATAACAGCTAAACTGCAATAAAAAAACTTCGGTTGCCAACCCGCTCGCCAAGCGTGGCAACTATGGCAAATACCCCTCAAATGGATAAAGTTACTAAGAGACGGCCCCCAGTCCCCGGCGGCCCCGCTATTCCTGGCTACGGTGGCGACCATGGTAACGGCGGGGCAGGGGGTGCTAATAATCTCCGGTGGAGGTTCGGTTGCCACCTACGACGACTCGACCTGGCAACATACAACGCACGCACCCTGAGGACTGACGAGAAGATTGTGGAGCTGGAAGAAGAGATAGAAAAGTTACGCTGGCATATTATAGGATTATCCGAAGAGAGGGGGAGGAAACGGTAATCCTCGAATCCGGCAACTTGCTCTATTACCGGGAGGGCGACCATCTGTCCCAAGGAGGTGTCGGATTTATCGTCCACAAATCTCTCGTTAACAACGTTGTAAAGATTGAGAGTGTGTCGACGAGGGTTGTGTACCTTATACTCAGAATCACCAAACGGTATTCGCTGAAGGTCCTACAGGTTTACGCACCAACCTCGGCACACCCCGATGAAGAGGTGGAGGAAATGTATGAGGATATCTCTAGAGCCATGCATTCCTCCAAAACCCAATATACGGTGTTAATGGGAGACTTCAATGCAAAACTAGGCACAAGAGAGAATGGTGAGCTGAAAGTAGGGAAATTTGGAATAGAGCAACGGAACCCAAGGGGCCAGCAGCTGGCCGACTTCATGGAGAAAGAGGGACTCTTTATGATGAACTCTTTCTTCAAGAAGTGGACCTGGTCGAGCCCCGACGGTTCGACAAAAAATGAGATTGACTTCATTATGACGACCAGACGACAACTGTTCAGTGATGTCTCAGTGATAGCGAGGGTGAAAACTGGTAGCGATCACCGAATGGTTAGATGCACACTGAACCTAAATGTTAAGTTGGAAAGGTCTCGTCTAATGAAGTCCACGCTCCGTCCCCCTCGTGCTCTAATCCAAAGTCCCGAAACCTTTCAGCTCGAGTTACAAAACCGTTTTCAGTGCCTAGAAGACTGCAATGAAGTGGACGTTATGAATGACAAACTCGTGGAAACTGTCTATGTCGGAGCTAAGTTCTGCAAGACCCGCCGCAGAAGAACACAAAAACCCTCCGATCACACTCTTAATGTCATGGCTGTTAGACGAGAGGTGAAGCTACATTCTTCAACAGATTTGATAGCATACAGGCAACTGAACAGACAGATGTCGTATTGAAGAAGCGATCGAGCGGTACCAAGGCTCCAAAGTCTTTGCCAGAGATCTGTCTGCCAGAAAGAGCCAACTGTCAAAGCTGAAGACAGAATGTGGCAGCATCGTTTCCGGGGCACCTGAGATTTTGAGTGCGATTGAAAGGTTCTATGGGCAGCTGTATACGTCATCGTCGGAGCCACACGCAAGTGTGAGTAACGGTCCAAGAGCGAGTCTTATCCGACATTATTCCGATGATATCCCGGACGTCAGTCTGAGCGAGATTAGAATGGCTCTCCAGCACCTTAAAAACGGCAAGGCCCCAGGCGAGGATGGAATTACAGCGGAGCTTCTGAAAGCGGGTGGAAAACCGGTACTTGAAGTCCTTCAGAAGCTCTTTAATTCCGTCCTCCATGGTGGCATTACATTGGAGGCGTGGAGCAGAAGTGCGGTGGTCTTGTTCTTCAAGAAAGGCGACAACGCTCTCTTGAAGAACTACAGTCCGATTTCCCTTCTGAGCCGCGTCTACGTGCTGTTTTCGAGAGTCATAACGAATCGTCTCGCGCGCAGACTTGACGACTTCCAGCCTCCCGAACAAGCCGGTTTCCGAAAAGGCTTTAGCACCATAGACCACATACATACCCTTCGGCAAATTGTACAAAAGTCAGAGGAGTTCAATTTGCCACTGTGTCTGGCTTATGTGGACTATGAGAAAGCCTTTGATTCCGTCGAAATTTGGGCGGAGCTGCAGTCCCTTCAGCGGTGCCAAGTGGACTGTCGGTATATCGAAATGCTGAAGTGCTTGTACAGTAGGGCTACAATGGCTATCAGAGTACGAAACCTATCCAATTGCAGAGAGGTGTAAGACAGGGTGACGTCATATCGCCGAAACTCTTCACCGCTGCATTGTAAGACGTTTTCAAGCTTCTGGACTGGAAAGGATACGGTATCAACATCAATGGCGAGTACATCACTCACCTTCGATTTGCCGACGATATAGTCCTTATGGCAGAATCGCTGGAGGACCTAAGCACTATGCTCAATGACCTCAATAGTGCTTCCCAACGGATAGGTCTTAAGATGAACATGGACAAAACAAAGATCATGTTTAATGTCCATGTCACACCTATGCCGGTAGTTGTTGGGAGCACTAAGCTCGAAGTTGTTGACGAGTATGTTTACCTGAGACAAATAGTCCGACTAGGTAAGTCCAACTTCGACCAAGAGGTCAATCGACGGATTCAACTCGGTTGGGCAGCGTTCGGGAAATTACGGCACATCTTCTCGTCAGGTATACCTCAAAACTTGAAAACGAGACTGTACAACCAGTGCGTGTTGCCAGTGATGACATACGGAACTGAGACGTGGTCCTTCACTGCTGGCCGGATGAGGAAGTTCAAGGTCGCTCAGCGAGTTGTGGAGAGGGCTATGCTCGGAGTTTCTCTGCGTGATAAACTCAGAAATGAGGATATCCGCAGTAGAACCAGAGTGACCGACATAGCTTAACGGATTAGTAAGCTGAAGTGGCAATGGGCCGTCCATATAACTCGAAGAACCGACAACCGATGGGGAAGAAAGGTTCTCGAGTGGCAGCCTCGTACCGGCAGGCGAAGTGTTGGGCGTCCCCCCACTAGATGGAGTGACGACCTGGTAAGATATGCACGAAGTCGATGGATGCAGGTGGCTCAGGACCGTGCTTTGTGGCATTCAGATCTATAGTTACCTCTGGAGACTAGTATGGAATGGTTCATACCATTATATAACTCTAGACTTTCCTGTGTTTTAGATCAGAACATAGCAGTTAATACACTTCTGCTGCTTGCAAAAATACAATGTTAGAGGGTAATAAGTATATAACCTAGCGGATTTTAAAGCAATTAAAGAAAAAGTAATAAAAATCAGATGACAATGTTACAGATACTGATTTCGACAACAGTAACGACGTTAGTAACAAATAAAGTTTCTTTCTAACATGTATACTGTCTGAAGATAATGCGTCAGAGTCAAGAGTGTACCTACGCGCGGATAGTGCCTAATTTAGAGTTCCGACAGCCCTAGGCTAACTATGAATATGCCCGCCCCCTCCACCGGCCTGTTTTGTCT